GTGGGGTGTGGGGGCAAGGGGCGGATACAGGGCCAGGGCGTGCGGAGGTTGGAGGGAGGACAAGATGGCCACCAATTGGGGATTTGGGGCGCGCGCGCGCACACACACACACACACACACACACACACTCACACTCATGCGCACGTGCACGCGTGCGCGCGCACACACACTTACACACTCACACTCATGCAACCGTGTGCATACACGCGCACGAGATCAACCCTATGCCGTCTCCCGTCTCTCCCTCAAAGAGAAAACAACACCCTCCCCTTGCTCACTTCCTCATGCCGGCCATCGCAGCCTTGTAGAGCATCAGGGGGACCTGGCACAAGGGGGCAAGCGCAGACGGCGTCGGCGGGTCACAGAATGTTGCCCCATTGAAGAACCAGTGGCAACCTTCAAGACTTCCTGACGGCGAATCATGTATGTACACACACATACACACGCACATACACACACGCATGCGCGCCCACGCGCAGGTAGCAACATGCCCATCTGCAGGTCAGTCATGTGCACACACCCCCCCCCACACACACACATACACACACATACACGCACGCGTACACACGCACACACGCGCGCGCGCAATCACTCACACACACACACACACACACACACACTCACTCACACAAACACAGGGTGAGCCCAACTTCAACATGCACATGCGCACACGCGTGCACATCCGAAATCCCGACCACAGATCATGTCCAACCCAACCCAGCTCCCCCTCACGCCGCCCACCCCCTGGGTCTTGTTCGACACCACCCACTGCTTCAGCATGTATTCATACATCGAATCTGCCGAGCTGCCCAGCGACACGCGTGAGCTGCCGCAGTTGGCGGGGCCGTGGGTCCCGAAAGACTCGCAATAAAGGCCGGACAGGTTGGTCGAGGCCGCAAAAGCGTACCATCCGATCATGCCGGCATCGTAAAAGTCGGTGCGGCCTGCAGTAAGAGTTTTTGTGCATTGAGAGAGGGGGGCGTCGAGTGTGCGCGGGTGGGGCCTGGTGATACGGGGCGCCGTCGGGGGGTTCGAGTGTCCCAGGGAGCGGGGGCCGAGGGGGTTTGGTGAGAGTGGTGGTGTGGCGCATTTGGGCCAGTGATGGGCTGGAAAATGTGGAGGCTGCTGCTCGGCAAGCGCACGGCCAGTGCTGTCGCCTCGCCCCGTCCGCCTCATCCACGATCCAACTCGTTCACACACGAGTGCGCACATACACAGGCACGCAAGCACCCGCACACACACACACACACACACACACACACACACACACATACATACACACACACATACGTGCGCACGCGCACGCAAACAGCCTATTGCCCACCCGTGAGGCGCCCCAGCGTCGTAAACTCCAAAGACAGGGTCCCAGCCTCCGCCAGGTTCGTAGTCGCGTCCCTGCGCCCCAACCGCGCGCGATCCCTCCTCCTGCCCCTGAGCTGCGCGCGTTCGCGTTTTCGAGCGTGGAGCGTGGGTCTGTTGGTTTTCGGAGGGGCAAGGCGCGCTCGCAAGACCGCACTTGCGACAGCAAATCCGAAGCTACATTCTGCACGCGGCCTCCATGCCAGCCGGATGGGCTTGGCATTGTAATGACACTCTGCTCAAACACCCCAAATAGACAGGAGAGAGTGGGGATTACAGCAACAGTAGATCGTGCATATGATATCATACACATTCTCACATACATGAGTGCATGTGAGACTCTTTAGGGACCAAACAAGGCGGGGACTGCGGTGTCAAGGGCTCACCGTGATCTGGGGGATGGGCAGGCCCGAGCCCGTGTTGAAGGCCGGCAGGAGGCGCTCCCCCAGCTGCTCCGCCTTGTGGAGGAAGGCGTCGTCCCCCCCAGACAGGTAGTAGGCGGACAGCAGGCCGCCCAAGATGCGGATGTTCACCTCGAATAACTGGGGGTTGCAGATTTGCGTATGTGTGTGTGGGGGGGAGAGGAGGGTCCATGCGGGTAAGGGTGGGCGAAAGAGTGAGTTTGTGTGCATGTGTGTGCGCATACAGGCCAGCGCGTGCATACCAGCACACATGCGCAAACATGTTCACACATATATACACACATTTATACACACACGGTCCCATTCACATACAAGCACACGCATAAGCACACACATCTGAACTGACACTGCATGCATGCACAAACACAGGCCCACCTGTACGCTGGCCTCAGGAAACTTCAGCCGATTGGCGACCCAATGGCGCGCCTGCACGATCACGAGTCACGTTGAGTTGGGGCGTCGTGCGTTTGAGAATGGGGCAGCGCTTGAATGCTGGTATGGGACACACATCAACTGCCTGCTGCGTCGCTTTCTTGACGCGGTCACGTGCAGCTGCCGAGGCACCTGCCAGACCACTCAAGCGCCAGCTGTGCACCTCGCTGCGCACCGGACTGAGGGCTGCCCACCCCTGACAGGGGCAGCGCTGCATCCATGTACAAATCGAGCCCATTATCTTGAGAAATGCACAATCAAGGTGTCCAAATCGCTACACTCAAGACATGCACACACGCATGCAGGCATGCACAAACACACTCACACACACACACACATACACACACACTCGCTCTCTCTTACGCACACGTGCGCGCGCACAAACACCAAGATGCTGCAATACAAGCTGAAGCATCGCGTCAGGGACATATCAACACAGTCATCGACAAGACCGGGACCACAAAACATCTCACCTCTAGGTACTCTGCTTCCAGCCCCGCCAGCAGCAGCGTGTCGATCGAGTCAACGATGGTCAAACCCAACCCGAACCAGGACATCGGGTTCTTGCCGGTGACGTCAGCCTCGTCGTCACCCCACGCATACTTGCTGGGGTCAGCATAACAGTAATAGTATGTGGGGTTGTAATGTGAGTCAGGCAATCACGGGTGACTATGCATGTGCGTGTGTGGTTCTTATGTTGCAGGGGAGGCTGCTTCCACACGCGTGCATGACTGATATGCACGTGAGGGAGAGTCGGCAGCTGCCAATCCCAGCTGCTCAGCCGAGAGCGGCGGAGCTCTGCCCTTGCCCCTCGGCGGTGCCCCCAGGCGCTGCAGCAGCCCCAGCTTCTGGGCAGCTACCCTCCGGCCTCCCTGCCCACCTGTAGCCGCGCCAGCTCCACTGAATCGCCTCCCTGACCGCCGCCCGCCGCCGCGCCGCGTCAATCACGCACCCCAGGCCGTCGGGGCCGCAGCTGTGGTCGCCGTCGCATATCTTGCTGCGCGCGCAGCGCGGGGACGTGTCGTTCTGTGGAAGGGCCACGCGGCGCCTCGCGTCCGGGAAGGGGTGCACGAACCGTTGCGGCGGCGGCGGTGGGGGCGGCGCCTGCTGCGAGCCCGCCGAGACGACGATCAGGGCGCCGCGCGGCACGAGCGTGACCGCGTATGGGCCGCCGCGGACCGCCGCCGCAGCCGCCGCCGCGGCGTTGCCGCCGTAGCCGGAGTGGTTGGAGAAGGGAAGGCTGTAGGTTGCTGAGAGGCTCGAGAGGTCGTTCAAAAACGCCGCTGTCGCGCCGGCGTGAAGCATGTAATTGACGCCCACCGCCAGCACGAGCGTCGCCAGCCCCATGGACGCGAGCAGCAGCAGCGAGAAGCGGCAGGCGCGCACCAGCGGGCGCGGCGGTGCGGGCGCGGGCGCGGCGTCGGCCAGTGGGCCGTCTGTGCTGCCGCTGCCGCTGAGCGTCCGGCGCGCCCGGCCGCCGGGTGCGCGCGGTGGAGGCGATTGATGCATGCGGGATCGGCTGAATTACAAGCGGCCTAGCAGGCCGTCTTGTCAAGGCGATGCGTTCTTGTCATTGTGACCGTAGATCGCTAGCTGACAACGACTGGAACCGAGTCATCGCGAACGCGACGTTTGGTTCCCAACGTGACTTCGAATAGCAAATGAGGAGCCATCATCGGTGTGGAACACCCAGCCTGATATTCATGGCAAAAGCGTCGCTGTCGGCGTCACTAGCCCGGTGACTTGGACGGCCGTTGGGGGCGCCTCAGGGACCAACAGTGGGGACACACGGGCCAGCACATCCACCCAGGCCACCTCAATCAGGAGCATGCTTGGCAAAACTGAGCTGACACGACGTCTGCAAGACAAAGCATCCCCCGCTAGATCTGTGAGCATCCTCTTTCAGTAATTGCAGACCAGGCACAGCTGCTCGACAGTTTCGTGGCGGCGCTGCAGGCATCCTGCAGCGGCGCCCCCCCTGTTTGATTTCAAGGTTTACTTTGGTAACCAAAGAGACTGCAACCCTGGGACGGCTGGGCGGCGCACGGGATATGAAACGATGACCCTGAGGAACCCAGAGGCCCAGGGTTTGAAATCTTGCTCTCTCACAACCCCTGAAACCACGGCCCACAAGCACGCGGTCGGAGGATGCCCGAGCCGCCGCTGCCGCGCGGCCCCGCGGGCAGGTGCCTCCCTCGAAATCTCAGCTCCCCAGCTGCGCCGCGGCGGCAGAGTCCAGCAGCCACGTCAGCTGCGCGTCAGCTGCGGGCGCCACCATCGCGCCGGGCAGCTCCCCAGGTGCCGCGGCGCCCTCGATCGCCAGCTTGACCGCAGGCGCCTGCGGGCGTGTGCAGGCATTGAGGGGGAACGTTGAGAGCTGCAGCAACAGCGGGGGCGGCGGCAGCAGCAGCGGCAGCAGCAGCGGCACAGCTGCCAATCCCTTCCCCAACCCGCGCCTCCGCCGCTGCTCTGGCGCCCTCAGCGACGCGACCGGTGGGGATTGAGGCGGCCCGCCTGATGAGCAGAGCGCTTTAAGGGCCTGGCGAGCGCGTTGGATGCTGCCAAACCCTGCAAGGCGCCCATGCAAAGGGCCCCAGCATCAAGCCCCGCCGCCACGCCTGCCCGCTCGCCTTCTTCTCGCCGGTGAGGCAGATCACCACGTCCCTTCCCGCTGACATCACCGGCAGCGACAGCGTGATGGACGCCGCCTCGGCGCTTTTCTGCGCGGCCGTGGGTGGGACGAGGCGGTGAGGCGAGGGGGCCAGAATGGTTGAGGGTGGGGCACCGGCGCCAGCTCGCACCTAGGGGCCGCACAAAATGCTGGGTGTACTTGCACGATCTCTTCTTGCCGGTCCCTTCTCAACCCTCCTTCAACGCTCACTCTCGTACTGACTTGTGCGCACCATACGGATGCACACACATACAAAATACGAATACACACATACGCAAACACGCATGCAGATGCTCACACACGCACACACACACACACACACACACACACGCACGTACACATACACACACATGCACACACACTCACGAACGCACGCGCGCACACACACATGTGCGCGCGCACACACGCACGCACGCACACACGCACATGCTCACACACGCGCACACACACATGCACACACACACACGCACGCACACGCTCACACACACGCACACACACACACACACACACACACGCGCGCGCGCGCACGTGCGTGCGCACACACATACATACCCGCACGCGCACACACACGCACGCACGCACGCACGCACGCATGCATGCGTGATTGCACGGGCCAGCTTACAAACGTCCGCACCTGGAAGGGCAGCACCCATGCATCGGTCTCCTCCAGCGTGGGCTTGTGGGGGTACAGGCTGCCCACGTGGCCGTCGGCGCCCATTCCCAGCAGCATCAGGTCAAACCTTGACGGGTAGACAAGAGTTCCAGTTGCGCGTGCGCATGCGCGCGTGTGTGTGTGTGTGCATGCGTGCGTGCGTGCGTGCGTGTGCGTGCGTGTGTGTGTGTGTTTGCGAGTGTGTGCGTGCATGCGTGCGTGCTTGCGTGCGTGCGTGTGTGTGTGCGTGTGTGTGTGTGTGTGTGTGTGTGCATGTGTGTGTGTGTGTGTGCGCGCATGTGCACCCACACGCAGGTTGAGGTAGTGCCAGCATTTGATTTGACACAGTGCCTGTATGCGCGCCACGCGGCATCGATGCAAGTACGTGCACAGGGGTGGCCACCCCAGCAGCGCCTGTCTGAAAATGTAGCCCTCTCAACGCAAGCCCTAACCCAATCCTTCGCTACGTCAGCTTGCGTGACTTAGCACTGGCCGTGCGCAGCATCCCCTACCTGGGAAAGCCGCCTGCCGTCTGCAGGCCCAGCGCGGCCGCCGCCTGCTTGAGACGGGATTCGTAGTCGGCAGCAGCGGCAGCAGCAGCTGCCGACAGCTCCTGCGCACAGGGCATCAGGAGCGCGCGTTGAGGCCCGGCCTCGGCTTTGTCGATGATCACGTGCGTCAACATGTTTGGCCGACACTGCCGCACAATTCCACGCTGTCATCAAGTCGATGCGCGATGCTCGACAGGAATCTGGGGGGCAGGGCTACACCGCCATTCGGCACCCACCTGGCCCTCAGCGGGCTCCAGCGGCGCCGCCACGTTGGCGTGAGGGATACCGACGGCCTTCACGAAACCGTCCAGCGCCTGTTACGAAAGCACGTGCGCGCGCACGCCCAGGTGTGAGCGGGAGCCCAATTCAGCAGGTGCGCGGCCGCGTGGCAGCACACATTCCAAGAGCAGGATCTGCGGCTGCACAGCACGGGGGCTGGTCAAAGCATGTGTTGACCCGTTTTGCGACATTGCAACGGCCCCCACCAAAGCGCCCCATCGGGCAGACCTTCTTGTGGGTGCTGGCGGCGTCGCTGTGGGACAGGACTTTGTGGTTGACGTACCACACGTGCACTGCAAGGGGTCGTGTTTGTATAGCATGTACCCGCATTCCTCAATCAAGGTACTCGCAGCCATCTGTTCACTGGTTGCGGGCGAGCCGCGCTGTCACCCCTGCAACAGCAATCACACCCTTAGTCCGCACTTCGGGCGTCCCAACAAACGTGGCGCTGCAGAACGCCTGATGTGTGCCAGGCTGCGCACCCTTGCCCCAGTCCACATCTGAAATGGACTTGAGGCCAGTAAGCATCTTTAAGACAGACCCGCCTGCGGTAGCATTCGACCCAGCAGGGTGAGCGGCGGAGGGCTGATTAGAGGTTGGTTCTGGCGGCAGGGACAGGCACGTGGCTCCTAGGGGCAGGTTTTTTTAACCCTGTGCATTTTGATGTGCCTGGGCCACTAGTGCGGCGCAGCGGCCCGGGGTTGTCTCATCATCAAGCAAAGCTGGGTCGGTGTGCTTGAGCTGCTGGTGCTCGCTTGCGGCGCATCAGCAGCGCGCTTCTTAAGGCCAAGCATGTCTCCATCCGCGAAAGCCTCACATTTGCGGCAATATTCCCTCCTCGTGCCCTTATCCCTTCAACAACAGGTTGAGTACAAACACAGACACGCTTGCTTCGACATCGAAAGCAAAAGGCATGTCCAGATTTGCACACATGTAAGCTGCCGCCACAGACACACTCATACAGGCACACGGAAAGACGCGCCTGGCACTGCCATGATGAAACGGCCGTCCTTGGCGATGGCGCCCCGTGCGCTGTCAGCAACCAGCTGGCACAAGCGCTCCCCCACCGCCGCCTCTGAGGGGCTGACATCTACGGAGACACGGCACGCTTGCTTGACGCCTGCGATGTTGGGCGGCGGATGATGCCTGTTGCCACCACGCCCGTCTAGCGCTTGCAGAGCACGATGCCCCGAGGAACTGCAGAATCACGCCCATGCAGCAGGCGTGCCGCGGGGTGTACTGTCGTTCCTGCGCGCGCCCTGGAGCAGCAAGCCTGCACCCCGTCGATAGCTTCAGGTCTATTTTGTCGCCAAACCGCGTACAAGGGGCCCCAATGGGCCACGATGGCAAGTGCCGGTCAAAGGATCACCTGCTGCCCTGCACGTTAAGCGCTGCCGGCCCTCAGATCTATTGACAAGGCTTCTTCTGTAACCACTAAACCTTGAAAGTGCCTGCATGGTGCTTCCGGGCGGGGTTGCGATCTGGCCGTGGCAGTCGACGGCACGGTATGACAATACGAACAACACAGGTGTAAGGAGATTTTATGTCATAGTTTCGATTGTCAGGCAAGGACGCTTACGCATTGAAGTACAGGCCAAGAGCACGGGCGCATACGGTAACTGGCAATCAGACGGCACAGTGGCGCAGCAGAGCACGGCGGCACCACGGCTTGTATGGTGCTGAACATGAGTTCAGCACTCTACGAGGAACTTGGTGATCCACGGGTAGGAGACAAAATCGCAAATGAATTTACTGCGACCAGCTGTCACCCTGGCACAATGCTGTTGGCAGCTAAAGCTGTTTCAGGATCGTCTCATCAGCATCAGAGTCAGCCTCTTGGTGCATCTCATATTGCCCTTGCTCGTCACACACTGAAACAAAGGGACGCGTTCACCTCAATGCGCTTCTGTCCTGACGATGTTGGATTTGGCTGTCCCAAGAATGCGTGGGCCCGCCGAAACGAGCTGTGGCCCCACGCTGCAGGTTTTTAGGGCGGCCGCCGCGGCAGACCCTGACATCACAACGCCGATGCAAGCCTGACCTGTAGATCTGAACCATGCAGTGCAGCCCACGATTGAGGCGCGTTGCTGCCTGCACCTTTTTCACCAATCGCACGCCCTCTGCAAGTCTGCCATCGTTACATGCAGCTGATGCACGATCAGGTATTCTGCGCACGCAGCAACCAACAGGCCACGAGCTCAGACAGAAAAATTCTGCAAGAAAAAAACAAGCCAAGGGTAGATGTAGACGCAACTGCTCAGGAAGTTTCAGCGGGGTCTTGCAAGGGGGATGCAGCCGGGCGCCTGCGCATCGGTTGTTTCTCTCAACGGATGCAGTGTGGCGGTGCAAAATCCTGCCAGGAATCAAGCTGGGTGCGGCGGCCAGCAGGCAGCGCAACCAAAGACAAAGCAAAAGTATCATGCTGAGTTGCACAGAGTGATTGATGACGCTGCGTGGACGCGGCGCAAAGGGGGTCGCCATGCGGCATGGGCACGCAGAATGCCCAGCACACGCCTCACAACATGCGCGAACGCGTCGGCCACAATACCACAACCCCCCAGCCTGCGCAGCGGCCCCGAACGCCCGACGGCCAGCGCCCGTGCCAGATGCTGCAAGAGCGGAAAGGGCCCGAGGCCTGCGCGGGCATCCGTCGTGCCGCGGGCGTCACACAGCGCTGGTCGCAAACGCCTCGGGGCCGCGGGCAAGCGCTCTCTCGAGGGCCGCGCCGCATTTGGCGGCGCCGGGGGGCCACGACGGGCTGAGGGCCATCCACTACGGGTTGTTCACAAAAGCCAGAGAATCGGCGGAGGGGTTGGGTCAGTTGCCCCGATGGGCGGTGTCGGGCACCTGGTCTGGGTGAACGCAGGCACCCGTATGCCAATGCAGCAGTGACACTGACGGATGGGTGCCGGCCCCCACCCATCCAGCTTTGCAGACATGCAAGACCCGAACAGAGCGATGCGAATGCTGGAGCAGCGTGTGACAAAGGCCCCCAGGACTAGCCTTTGTCTGGCGCCGGAGGCTGCGAGTCCTGCACATACGACCCCTGCCCCCTCCCCTCACCGTGGCCCACTGCGCCGGCGCCAGCACCGCGCGCAGCACCTGCATCCCGACCATCGCCGCCGTCCGCTCGCGCCGCACGTTGGCGCCGAGCGCCTCCACCAGCGCCACCTGGGGGGACGCGTGCGCGGGGCGCCCCACAAATCAAGAGTGACGACCCAGGGAAACCGCTGGACAGCAGCGCGGCAGGCCGGCGCAACCTGCAGCAGGCCGCATCAAATGTGTGCCGGCCTGTCCAGAGTTTCTTCCCAACGGCTGCGACATCCATGCTCACGCCAGGGCCCTGCAAAGCGAGCGCCATGCCGTACGGGCCACGTCAACGCACGCACGCACGCACACACACGTACACACACACATACACAAACACACACACACACACACACACACACACACACACACACAC